CTCATTGCATGAAATGACCACCGGTGTATGTAATCTCATCTCATCTTCACTCAATGGCCTGCCAAAATGCAAAACCCAAAATACCAGTCAATATCAATTAGAAATGGATGCATCTTTCTTCAAAACTCCAGGGTTCCTGAAACATCACCTGCACCGCACAATAACCTGCACATTAACGCCCTTATCTTTGTCATGCTTGTTACTCGAATTCGAGTCACCCGATCGCAGATCTCGCATTGATTTATCACTGGAGCGCGGAGTCTGTGACGGCGATAGCGATACCAAGGCGGTCCTTCTCTGCTGTAAAGAATCCATGTAGCCGTCTTTCTATTTACCTTCCCTCGTACCTCTAGATAACCTACCTGCATCAGCTCAACTCATTGAATCAACTCAAATCGCAAAAATAGCAATCTAATAGAAATGCAAAATCAACGTTTTTGAAATACACAGACAAAAATGTCAAGTTAGAATCATTCCGAATATTGCGTATAGTTCGATTATCACGAGATTCTATACAGCTATACATTCCTCGACGAATCTCAAGTTTCCGCAAGACTCGGCTGTGACAAAAAGAACACTATCTCACCGAGTCAACTCAACTCTGATCATCATCCGTACAAGCAGCAAACGAGATCAACACTTCAATAAACATACACTCACCAAAACTGATCCAACAAGAAAACACAAACAATACATTCAATCAAGAAAAACACACACAGATATACACAAGCGTATCTACATATCTATACATTACAGATGTACAAATTCAAAACCTGAGCTGGATCAATAATAACCAATCAAAAAATAGTAAAAAGTATATGCAGTAAATTCACAACAGAGAAAGAGATAAACAGTTAATGAAACTGAGATTGCAACTTACAGTACCTCACCACAACAAGGCCGGCCTCTGAAGAGAGAGAGAGAGAGAGAGAACAATGGCGACAGTTCAAGAGAGAGAAACAACTGAAAGATAGCGTAAAAATGAAACCAATCGATTGCTGATTTCCTTTTATTTTCCTTTTTCAAGGCTGAAACACTCGAGAGAGCGAGGGAGAAAGAGAGAGAGAGAGGGAGAAGAGGGAGATTTGGGATTTTGTTGTGTGTAGATTTTTTTTTAAGAGCTGAAAAAATATTAAAAAGAATTTATTTAAAAGATAATATTTTCTGAATTAAAAAAAAATAATAATGGAAGAAGCCGTTACGCAGGGTTGAGTTTGCGTTGCGAGGACGGCATATAACGGCGTTAGTAAATCCGTTTTATCGTAATTTCCGACCGTTATAAAAGGGACAAAGAGCTTAAAGCTTAGCTACTGATAAAAAGTCCATGTTTTTTTGAAATTTTTGAAACTGAACTGAATTTTAAATTTTGCCCCTAACTTTTCCACAAATTACAAGATTACCCACCTTTTTTTTCAAATAGAGCCCACTGTTTTATTAATTAATTTAATTAATCTGTATAAATAGAGTATTATTAATTTTGAACTTTGTTTTAATTAAAATTTAAGAGAATCACTAACAGCTTTCCTGTTAACGTGGAAAGTTGGAGATCTATAATAATCCCAATGGGCCCATTGGAAGATTATCGATATATATTATATGTACATACATTCTTACATACATATATATTATGTGTATATATAATTGTATAGACATGTATTGTGTATAGGGTGCGTTAGGGTAATGTACCCGTAATTCAAGCCACTTAAATTTAATATTTTAATTAAACAATTTTAACATTTCTTATTAATTTAGCTGTTTTTCGTAATTTTATATATTAATTTTAAAACGTGAATTAATAAAAACAAAATTAATATTGCACCCATAAAGATTTGTAAAAAAATAATTACTTATAAAGTATTTAATTTGTTGTATTTATACATATATTATTATGTATAATATAAATAAAAATATAATTAATAATTAGTTGAAATTTGAATTGGAATGCGAACTAATCTTATCTTAAAAGTTTTGTTAATGCTTCCAAGTGTATTTCAAAATTTAAACTAAACTAGCAGAAGACGACATTGAAAATGTCAATTAAGAAAATTGTTTTTATTTTAATTTTTTATAAGGGATTTGCTTATTTATTTAATTTAGGCCATAGTTATATTGCTTGACCAATTACAAATTTTGGATGTGTGTATCTAAATTTGACTAAAATCTATAAGTAATCAATTGGTGTGTGTATATATATACTACTACATTGTAATAATAATTTTTTGCATTTTCAAATTACGATTGAAAATAGTGTTTTTAAAAAAGTATTTATTATTTTATTATAAACAAAAGTAAATAAATAATATAATAAAGTTACTTTTGTTAAAAAAAAATAATAATTGATATATAAAAAAAATCAGTAATAGTATATCGAAAAAATAATTAATTAGTAAATTTTATTTTAATTTATGGATGAACTAGATTGCCTTAATAATAATTATTTATGACATAAAAAGAAATTATTTATTACAAAATAATTAAATAAAAAACATTACAATTTTCAGAAAATTTAAAAAAAAATTATATTTAGTATTTGAAATATATTTTTAAGGATATTTAAGTACCATAAATACGTATACTGAAAAAAAAAAAATTATTTATAAATCTAATATATACATATAATTTATTTCAATGACTAATATAATTAGATTTATAAATACAATTTATTTATATAATTAATATAATTAATCTTTTTTTTTTAATTTCAAACTCAAATTCAAAAACAACCGCTCTCATTTTGGGCACCTGTCCCTTTTATAATAATTTCACATAACTATTTATTGTTTTTTCTTTTATTTTTTATGTACTCCATGTTTTATTTTATCATTTATAATAATATATACACGTACGATACATCAAAAAACTTATGATAACATTCAAATAAGTTTAAATTGATAATATATTTTTAAATTGTATCTAAATATTTCTTTATAACTAGTAATATATCTAATTTTGTTACACATATTTACAGAAGACAAAATATGTCTATATGCATATATTAATTTTTAAAAATATTAAATTCAATTTTTTAAAACATTATTGACAAATTTAAAAATACATATTGACAAATCTCACCTACTTCAAATTCAAACAGAAGTTTAATGATTTAAATTAGTCACGCACACACACACACATATATATATATATGTATCAAACACTTGATTAAATATTTTATTATTCGATTTTAGACTTTATTATAACAAATGAAATTTAAATCGAGTTATACGTAAAATTTCATATAAAATTAAATATTTATTATTTTGTAATAAAATTTACATGTTTTATAATAATTTTTTTTAAGGGACTTGAATTAGAAGTTGTATTGTATTTTTTAAATTTAATAAATAAATAAATAAAAACAGAAGACAAAGTGGGGTTAGTGTGTGGTGGCAAAGTAACCCCACGTGATAAAGAGTGATGTTATGAGAGCACATGTCCGTTGGTGGGGGCGGGTTATCTGCTTTTGGCCTTTTTGAGTTTTAAAAAATTAACCCCCTCAAAAAGTAAAATTAAACAGGAATTTACTATTTTAACCACTCTATTTTTATTAATTACACATCTCGCCATATATTTTTCAAATATTACAATTCGCAAATAGTATTTGTCCCTTTAAACCTCTCTATCAATTATCAGCAAGTTTGCTCGTACGTAAAGCCTTTATTTAAAGAGTATTATTGTGCATTTACATGTAAAGTATTAAGCTTTATATAAAGTGAATTGATCTTTACGATTAATTTTTTTAATATCTTTATTCAATACAAGTTTCAGTTTAATACGCAAACTAAATTTTAATAACAATATTAGAACTAGCAAAAACATATGCGTTAAAATCTCAAATTGAGTGTTTTAGATTGTTGCAAGTGTTATTTAAGTGCTTACATATCGTCCTATTAAGTTTTATCTACAATATTTATTTATAACAATAACAATCTCAAAACATATCAAAATAGAGATAAAAGATTCAAACTCCGTCTAAAGAAAATAAGGTTATGTCCCCGAAATTAAACAATATATGTTTCTTAAAATGTACGATCATATGGTTAGGGAGTTAGACAAGTTCTCACTAATATGTCATTGTTATAATAATATTTGACTTTGAAGATATGACCCAAAATTTAAAGATTTCATAACTAGTCTAAAAAATAAATTATTAATTTAATACATACTTACATACTTATATGAACAAATGGAATGACTCATTACAATGAAAAACATAAAACACTAATACGCTATTGACTTCACTCTGTCAATAAGAATTAAGTACATGTTCGGCATTAAATTTTGGTATTGGATGGGACCAATAGCATGATATATATATATATATATATATATATATATATAC